TCGTTTTGTGTGGTGTATTGTACACATCAACATCAACTCTGTCTGTCACTAGCTACTGTCAAATATCACATCAGTTGCTTGTAGAACAGGAGAAACACAGATCATTAGAAAAAAAGGACTCCTTTTTATTTCCCTCTCCTTTCTTTCTCTTTCATGTATTTCAACATTGGAAAATTTAGGGTTTTGTTACTTTAGAGCTTTTCTTTTCCTCTTTGTGTTTGTCTCCAAATATGGTGGATATGGATGTGTTTAATGGCTGGGAGAGATCAAGATTCGAAGATGAAACCCTAATGCCACCTGGGTTTAGATTTCATCCAACTGATGAAGAGCTCATCACTTACTATCTTCTCAAGAAAGTCCTTGACTCCAGCTTCTCTTGTGCAGCCATTTCTCAAGTTGATCTTAACAAGTCTGAGCCTTGGGAACTCCCTGGTAAGCCCACTAAAACACAAGTCGTAGACCCATTTCCTGTTTCGCTTGTTGTGTTCATAAACTTCGGCTAAAACCCATCTCTGGATCCAAAGGTTCAGACTTTCCTCTGTTTTTATTCATCTTTAGAGCCATTGCTTGAACTACCAAAGTTTAGAAACTTTTCTCCTATCAATGTAGTATCTATCATAGGAAGAATATTTGTTCAAGAAGATAAACCTCCAAAGATTAGTCTTTTCTGCTAATATTTGTTCAAGAAGATAAACCTCCAAAGTTTAGTCTTTTCTGCTATCAATGTAGTGTCATAGGAAGAATGTTTTGATGAAGAAGACATTGTCATTACCCTACAAATTTTGATGAAATCTCTGTTCTGGCTTTGAAACAGAGTATTTTACTTGTAACATCTACGTAAAGTTTTTGATATTTGCCACTCTGTTTTGAAAAACCTGTTGAGCAGAGAAAGCGAAAATGGGCGGGAAAGAGTGGTACTTCTTCACGTTAAGAGATCGGAAATACCCAACGGGACTGAGAACAAACAGAGCAACAGAAGCTGGTTACTGGAAAGCCACTGGTAAAGACAGAGAGATCAAAAGCTCAAAGACAAATTCACTTCTTGGTATGAAGAAAACTCTTGTCTTTTACAAAGGTAGAGCTCCTAAAGGTGTAAAAAGCTGTTGGGTCATGCATGAGTATCGCCTCGACGGCAAATTCTCTTACCATCACATTTCTTGTTCCGCTAAGGTACAAATTTGCTAGATTTTATTCAATATTTTGAGTATTGTACAATGGAAAATGTTACTAGCTTGTGTCTTATGGTCAGGATGAATGGGTTCTCTGTAAAGTTTGTTTGAAAAACGGCGTCGTTAGTAGAGGGACGAAACTGATCTCTTCTTCTTCTGCTTCCGTCGCCGTCGCCGGAGAATTCTCCTCCTCCTCGTCATCCGCCGGATCTGCAATTGCTCCGATCATTGATGTCTTTAAGACGGAGCACGTGTCCTGTTTCTCCAATACCGCTACTGCTGCTGCGAGCTTTCCTACGTTCCTTCCCGCTCCACCACCGTCGTTTCCGCCACGTCAGGCTCGCCGTACCGGCGATGACGTGGCGTTTGGTCAGTGTATGGGTTTGGGAAGTTACGGAGAGGTTAGCTTCGATGCATCGTTCTTCCCGAATCTTCCTTCTCTGCCACCGACTGTCCTTCCTTCTCCTCCTCAGTCATTCGGACTGTACGGTGGCTCCGCCGTGAATTGCTGGCCGTTTGCTCTCTGATCGCTATGCGGTCATGAATTATCTATCTACTTTTGAAATAATTTGCTTTGGACTGTTTAATCAGTGTCGCTTGTATTAATCTCGAATTGCTTGTTGGTCGCTTGTAACGTGTTTGTAATGTCTTTCTGCATGCTTTTGACATTATTTTCTCATGATTTGAATTTTTCAATGTCTTAATTAGTAAAAACTCTTTTATTCTTTGAAAAATGGTTGATTTCGAAAAGGAGAATATCTTCCATGTAGACAATTCATATTGGAGACAAAATGTAGGAAATTGAATTGGATCATACTCGTTGTAAAAGATATGGAACTATTAAATTTAAATTGTTAGCGATGAAAGA